CCTTATTGTCCTCCCCCAACAGAACTACTCCACTCCACACCACCCCATCTTCCTCTCACTCTTGTCCTTTTACTGTCTCTACCTCCGTTTCTTTGAGATTCCTCCCACAGCCCACTACTCTCAACAGTGCCTCCAAAAACAAGTAAGCAACGTTACTTTTTCACAGTCACTCCAATCATCCACAACTTTTGTTGCAAAAGTGGGAAGAGACCCGTGCATTCCTTAATAATTTCAATCAAAACCTTGAATGAGTCATAGATAAATGACAAAAAAAAAAAAAATCTTTTGTCCCATGTCTCATTGGCATCAAAAACACCTGTCAATCATCCACTTATTTCACCTTAAATAGTTTCTCGCTACTTTCTGCAACATCATATGATGTTTATTATTCTTGATCTTTGTAAGATCATGTGTCTAAGAGTCTAGTACTTCACGACTGGTGGATGATTGTCTCCTGTTGTAAGTAGAGAGATACTAGGATTAATTATTTTTATCTCTTTTAATACCTGTAACAGTCTGGTATAATTGGAGTGAAATCCAGGAGATTTTAGTGTTAGATGGTCCATTGTCTCTTCTGGATGTTGGCACCGTCTGCAGCTTGGTTCAGTTTGTAATTTCAGTCTGTGTAGGCATTTTCTTAATCTTGTGATTCTTGTGAGACATACATCTTGTTTTCTGTTTTCTCATCTGGGCCATGGGTATTGGGTGTTATCCTTGACATGATGGTTTCTGTGAGAGTTTTGTTTAACTGTTTTTCCCCTTGTCTTTTTCTTTTTTCTTTTATGTTTTTTATTATGTTGCCAGTATCTTAAGAATTCTCTTTTGCTCCCCAGCTGTATGAGGATATATTTTTAATTAATTTTATTCTGTTTAGAGATTTTACTTTGATGTTTTATGTATGTTTAATCTATTTTACTTTGGGAACTTTGAATCTTAGATCTAATATATCTTGACTTAGTGAATTCTAGTTCATTGTTGATTTAGATTTTTGGTAATTGTATTTTTCTTTTATTTGCTAAACAGTAATTTACTTTTGTTAGGTTTCTTTTTAAATCCCAAGTGTCTGCCATTCTTTTTTCTATGAAGACTAATGTTTTTTTCTTTTAGAAAATTACATGTCCAGTTAAGTATATTTCCTTTGATTCCAAGATAAGTGATTTTTATTAGTAGTGCATTGTGGTTTACAGAGTCAAAGACTTTTTCTAAGTCTGTGCATATTACTAGGGATTTTTTTCTCACTTTTTTCTTTGATAGCATTTCCTGTTATGTGTATGTCTAGTTTATTTGTTTCTAGCCACCAGTTTATTCTTTTTCTTATTATATTTTCAAATATTTCCTAGGCAAGTTATTCTGCTGATGAATCTGTATGATTTTGATTCTGAAGGGTTTCTTCCTGGTTTTTGAATGGAGTTTATTATTGTGTTCTTAAAATCTTGTGTTTATTTTATAATTATGTCAAGATTTTGGGGGACAATTTTTGTAGAATTTATATAGTTTCATTAGGTCCATATGCTTTATTATTTTTTTAATTTGTTATTGCTGAAATGGATTCTTTTTCTGCAATCTTACTATTTATTTCAATATTTCTTGGGGTGTTTTGTTCTTCCCTTGCAGAATCTGACTTTTTTTTTAGGATGTTTGATACGTTTTTGGTGTTCTTTGAATATTTTTAATTTGTTTATTTCTGTGACTGGTTAGTTGTTCTTTATTAATGAATAGTTATTCTGTGTTGTCTCTCCCATTATTTATTTATTTATTTATTTTATGAAGTTCCAGATCTTTTTTAAATGAGGTTTTGAACTCTATTGTGAAACAGACTTTTTCTGGACTTTTTTCTTTCTCTATTATCTGTTTAGCTTTTGCTAATAGTTTTTTTTTATATTCTTTTTGATTTCTGTTTCATCAATGTTTTCCATTTATTATTGGATTTATTTCTCTCTAACAATTTCTTTGTCTTGCAATCCAAAAAGGTTTATTCAGTTTGTCTTTTTTCATATTCTTTAACCCATTGGCGCCGGGTGTCACATATGTACATGCCATGGCTGTTGTGGACCAAACGCCGGGGCATCATGTCGTTACCAATCCCGTGCTACTGGCTGGTCGGACGGAGGTTGTTTTTCTCCAGTAGTAGCAGCTTCATTTATATGGTAAAGATATTAGGCAATGGCACCTAAAGTGAAGGTAAACCTTCAAAATTTTAATATTTTTATAAATTTTAGCAAAATAAAAGCTTTTAGGTGCTATATGTCGCTCGCAAACTACCGATCGAGCCGGGCGCAAACAGGGGAAACTGCTGGTGCGCCAACAAGCCGGTGCATACGTAAACTTGCCAAAATTTTTGCCCATCACTGATGGGTTAAACTTTAGAAAAAAAAAAAATTCCTGTAGCTTTTATAAGATCTGTCATTTTTTATGAGTGACTTCATATTTGTTGCAACTTTTATTTAGTTCCCTTTGGTAGTTCAGCCATCTTTCATTAGCAAAATTTATTTTATTATTTTTTTTTTATTAATTGAGAAGATTACTGTGTGGTGTTGTCTTTTATTGTTATTGGTAAGTGATCACTTTATAAGTCAAGGATGTGTCCTATAGCAACACTTTTTGGTAATTGTCCCTTGAAAGTTATTCTGAGATTTCGTTGGAGCCCACTTTTATGTGCTTTCTTTAACACTGGTTATTTTATCTATTCTAATGATTTTATTATACCATTGGTTTAATTTTGTCCTTTAGATCTTTGGGGTCTAGCTCTATTTCAGTGGATAAAATGTGCTATATGTGCAATCAATGTTTATGTTTGAGGCCCATTGTTTGCATTTTATGTTCCATTCTCCAAGTTTGCCTATTAATTTCACGCCAACATTTTTGACATTGACGAGGAAGGGGTTGATACTGTCAGACATGATAAGACAATCCACCATTATAAACCTCATGGGGGAGGTCTTGTCTGTGGAAGCTAATCTTGGCAATATTGATGTGGGATTTACGTTGGCCATGGGACAAGCATTTGGCAGAATAGAAACAATTACAGCACAAGCATTAACTCTTGGGCTTCAGATGTAACCATGATAAGGCGTGAATGATCAGAGCAGCTGCGAAGGGTAACCTTGCCTACTTGTTTCTGGAGGCCCTGCTGAAAGAGAAGGGTATTCTCAGAATAGTGGGCTGTGGGGGGAATCACAAAAAATAGATCTCATTTGGTTGAGCCAAATAGAGTACTCAGAAGGTTTGCAGAGGTAGAGGTAGTAGAAGGACTAGAGAGAGAGGAAGATGGGGCGGTGTGGTGTGGAGTAGTTCTGCGGGGGGGGGGGGTGAAGAGTAGTTATAAGGGGACATTGACATTGAAGAGGGTTGTGCAGCAGGGGATGAAGAGGAGAATGTTTGGGATGAGGAAGAGGTGTTTTCTAGTGGTTGGGTAATAACCTGGGTGGGTGTTTCAGAACGGTTAGAGTTGTTCATAAGTGTCGAAGAGGGGGTATTAGCATCAGTGGTTGGATCATGGTCAAAGGAAGGGCAGGGGTCAGAAAACCATCAATATCAAATTCAGATAGGCTCTTTGATGAAGGGGCAAGCCTTAATGCCTCTATTAAGGGTAAAGATTCTTCATTACTGGCCATGGTAAGCCTGAATAAACTGGGGAAAAGAAACGGTTTACCCCTTAGGGTTCCCATAAGGGGTAATTAACCAAGGGAATACCGTGCCCATGGCTCCTGGAGGTTGTTCGTGACAAACACAAAGCCAGCCTTTCATCCTTCCAGCACGGCTCTCACACTATAGAAACGGGATAGAAGAACGGAACAAAGAAGATACAGAGGAGGAAAGAAGAGAAGAAAGGACCAGTCAAAATTAGCTGACCCAAAGGCTGAGGCCCAAGGTAGGGATAATCCTCTACATTAGCTCTCAGTCCCCGTCCCCTAAGCCCTCCCATGACAACAACGAGCTAAGTTTTGGGAGGGCTTGCCCTCCTGAGAAGCTGAGTGATCAGGACAAGATGACATCTTAATGACTTTTGTATGTAAACATTGACAGTTGCAGGCTAGTTATCTGGACGAGCAAGACGAAGAGTTCCGAACGCAGCACTTTTCTTTTGACTTCGGTCCATTGCCAATTCCGCATTTCCTATTTACCAAAAATTGTGGGGGCAGATTTATGTGGGCTAGTAAGTGTAGGATAGATTGATAATGGACGGCCGTTTCCCTTGGAAAGTAATTTTGTTGGAATCCATTTTTCATTACCATTTTCCTTTTATTCTCATTATTTCAGTAATGTTTGAATTTAGTATACCAGGATCTTCCCCTGCATCTATTTGAGTGCTTTCCATTTGGATATTCAATGGCACTGTTTACTCTAATTAGGTGTTTATGCATGAAGACGCTCCTCCAGAGAACCTGCTCAGCTGTTGATGTTTACGTTCCGAACAGCTGATCGCACACCTGGCGGCGGAAGCGAAAACTACGCGCTGAGCAGTGGTACCATACGTGGTGGAGGATTTTGTTGCAAAGGTACGGTCTGGCTAATATCTGAGGCACTAAACTATATATTGATATTGTGTCATCTGCTCGTAATTACATAGCGCATAAGGTGATGTACGCTAGTGAACTTAAGTAAAAGAAGAAACATTTTCATTGACATGTTATCTGGGAACAGTAAAACATTTTCAGAACTGTGAGAAATCGAATATAGTGTTTTACTGTGTTAATTACAGTGACAACTTTAGAAGATGTCTTCAGCTCTAAAATAAAGGAGTATGAATAGTTTCACTTTGGTATAATTTGAGTAAGCAACTAAGCAAACATACGAATACCAACCTTACCATGTAATAACTTACAGAATACATTCTGAAAAGAAATCACTAGTATCTGCCACAAATCATTGATAACTTTTATAAAATTGGAAAAAAAAATCCCAGATCGTCCCCCAAACTCCCCCAAAGCCCACTGAAGTGGTAGTAATAGTGACAAAAACAGGCGTGAGTGGTAGCATTGAATTCAAAACAATTCAAGATGGCCAGAGTTTGTTCCGGGTGTGAATGCAACTATTTCGAGTTCATTCAGAAATTCTACAAAAACAACGAAGCCGCCATAGCGTATTTACGAGATCATGGAGCGTTGCCTTTGGAGGTCATCTGCCCTAACTGCAAGAACATTTGTCGTTACCGAGCAGAGACTCACAGTTGGTACTGCGGTGCCACTAGGAAGATTCACCACAGGAAGAAGCGGTGTCACTATAAAGTGAGTGACTATAAAGGGTCTCTCCTCTCTGGTGTCAAAATGGAGCCGTACAAGGTCATTTGTTTCGCTAACCACTGGCTGAGCAAGCAGTGGGATTATGAGACCTTGAAGCAGTGCCTAGGCTTGTCGGAGGCCACGGGGTCGGCATGGCAGAGGTATTTCGCTGAGGTGACCGAGCACTGGGTGGATAATCAGGAGCCGATTGGTGGACCAAGCGTTGTGGTGGACATAGACGAGACCTTGTTTGGGAAGATGAAGCACGAGGAGGGCAAGTCGCAGAGCCAGATTTGGGTGTTTGGTGGCATTGAGCGCGATAGCAAGAACTACTTCATTGCCCGACTTGAAGAACCATTAACTGAGAATCTGATGTCCTTGATCCTGAAATATATTCTCCCAGGAACTGTCATTGTAAGTAACAGGTGGAATGCGTACAGTCCCATTAGTGACCATGATTACGTTCATCAGGTGATAAACCACTCGGGGACGTCACAGACAAGGAAAACGCTAAAGCCCACACTCAGAGTGTTGAACTATTGTTTCGTGACGTCCAGGAATGGACCGTGAAACCTGGCAATCGGCCACAGTTTTACAAACAGTATTTGGCTCGGCTCCTATTTCAGCAGCAGCACACCCATAGCAACATCAACCACTACTTCTTCCGTGAGGTTGCAAGAATGTACCCTCCAGACTTTGAAACAGAAGATGCAGATGTCAAGGAGGAATCCAATGATCATGAGAACCAGGAATCTGAAGTGTCAGATTAAGGTAAAATTTCTTGCTCAGTAAGATGCGGTAAAGGTTTAAGAGAGTGATGTGCATAGTTAGAGGGAAATAGACACCGCGATCTTATAGAATGGAAGAAATAGAGTAGGATAGAACAGAGTTTAAGCTGCAGCAGCCATATTCTATGACAGATTTTATATAAATGTTAAAGAACTTTATCAGTCTCTCTATTTGCTCCCCATCTTAGGGATGCTTTTTTTTTCTATTCATTGATTTTGTTTTTGTGTGTTCAACATGTTTTCTCGATGTTATTTTGGGAGCATCAAATATCATTCGTAGGATCATATGGTATTGTATTTCTTCATCACTTTTTTTTATTCTTGAGTTTTGTTTAATTGTTTTGTTTGTGAAACACTTTACTCCACATTTAGTTCAATTTATTTTAAGATTCCATTTTTCTGCCCATTCTTTTATTTTATGAGGGCTATGTTCAAGATTATTTACTGCTTCTACTAGGTTTTCATTTGTTTTTATAAGAGTTATGTCATTTGGGGATCCTTGTGGGACTCCATTCAGTATTATCCCAATAGTAGATCTTTGTTTGCCAATTTGGATTTGGAAAGTTCTGTTCATTTAGAAATTATTTATCCATCTTATTACTCTACCTCCTAAGCTTATGTTTTTTGCTTTTATCAAGATGGTATCTTGATTAGCCGAGTCAAATGCTTTTTCTATCTCTAGACATTTTACTAGAGCATTTTTTTTTTTTTTTTTTTCTTTAATAGCTTGTCTTATTATTTCAATTATTTGTATTGCATCTAAATCCTATTAGGTCTTTGTCTAGTTTATTTTTTCTAACCACCAATTTACTCTTCTTGCTGTAATGTCTCGAAAAGTTTGCCAATCGATGGTGTTCTACTAATACATCTATACGAGTTGATTTTAGCTGGATCTTTTCTTGGTTTGTATATTGGGTTAACTATTGCTATTTTCCTTTGTGGATATTCACCTAGTTCCCAATATTTAGTTTTTTTAAGATAATTTCTAGTATATTTTGGGGATTTTTTGTAGAATCCGTATGTGATGTAATCTGGCCCATATGCCTTCCCTTTTTTTTTTTTTTTTTTTTTAATAGCATATGCTAATTCTAGAATTATATCTTTGTTTTATATCACCTTGGTTGTTACTGTTTAGTATTTCTTTTTCTATTCTTGTTAGTAGTTTTTCTGCTTGTTTACTTATTATATTTTCGTAATCTTCTTTAGATATTTACAGTTTTTTATATTTGGATCACTGGAAAGTGTTTTTTTTTTTTTTGGACAGGTTTTTTAAATTTATAGAAAGAAAATATTTCCCAAGCCTCTCTTTTTTCTTTTTCAGTGATATACTTTGCTTATGTTACTAGTTTTTTTTTTCTCTCTCTCTCTCTCTCTCTCTCTTTCTCTTTTTTTTTTTTTTTTTTTTTCTTTTTCTTTTCTTTTCTTTTTCTTTTTCTTCCTATTCTCTGTGCTTAGTCATTTTCTCCATTTGTTATAAGCTTTGTTTCTTTTTCTTATTACTTCATTGCATTTGTTATTCCACCAAGGTTTGTTAGACTTATTATTTATTTTTTTAGGTTCAAATCTGAAATGTTTTTCTCTAGTGTTTTTATCAGTTCTAGAAGTATTTCTAACATTTCTATGTATCTAGACCATCCTTCTTTTGTGAATTCCCACTTTCTTTCTAAGTTTGTGGAGTATGTTTGGTAATTCTCCTCTTTTATAATTACTGGAAGGTGATCACTAGCCAAATGTGGGGCCTGTTATAATTTCTAAATGATATAATGTTGGCGATCCCAAAACTAGTTTAATGTGGCTTCTTTATTTGTTACTGGGTCAATTCTAGTTATTTGTCCTTTAGGTGTTAATAGCAGAATATTATTTTGATTTATTAATTTAACCAAATCTTTTCCTGTTATGTTACTTAATTTATTGTTGTTTGGGTTCCAATTGGGGTGATGCACATTAAAGTCTCCTATAATTAACTTTGGGTCTTGTAATTGGTCATAGTATTATTGAAATTGTTTTCCTGTTATTTTATTACATGGATTGTATTATAATATAATATTTAGCCACTTTTCTTTGTACTGTATTTTAACTCCTAGGATTTCAATCCTACGTTCATACATATCATTTAGAATTTAGTTCCTAAATTGTATTTCTTTTCTGATTCCTAAGCTTAGCCCTCCACTAATTTGATTTTTTTCTGTCTTTTCTAATATATATTATAATTATCTATCTTAAATCTATCTTTTTCATCAATGTCAGAAATGTTGGTGTTTTGGCCACCCAGCCAAACACTGTCACTCCACAGCCCGCCACCCTCCATGTGCTCACCTGGTCATGACAGTTCAAATTGCCCTGCTCAGTCTTGTACATGTGCCAGCTGTGGAGGCTCACATAATGTATTTTATAGAAGGTTTCTATTGATGTGAGAAGGATTTCCTAAAGATTGTCTTCCTTAATAGATTTTCATTCGTGCTTGCTTTTGTCAAATGAATTACAGTATTGGTGGTCTATTCAGGTTGTGTGTATTTTCAAGATTTATAATTGTTTAGATAGCATAATATCTGTTACAATACTCTTCAGGTATAATGCCAGTAGTTGCAAGTAAAATTTCAGAATCTTGTTATCTATATCAGTATTTGTTGCAGATGGAGGAAATGCAAGGAACACAGACTGAGGAAAAGGCAACTCAGCAAGACTGTCGAGCAGACTTACGAGAGAGATTCCTGTGGGCCATTACTTCCTTGGTAGGGAAGGACAACTATCAATATGCATGAAAAGACACGTGCAAGTGGGATATTCCGTGGTATCGATAAGGACATTCTGAGTATGCAGATTCAGGATTTGAAAACCCCTTGCATTGTCTACCCGCGGGCAATGATACGTGTACCTGACTGCATGACATTGCATTTCAAGTTATAGCACTTGTTATTGGCCCTTTACCTGCTAGTTAGATATATATATATATATGTATTTGTTATATATTTTTTTATTAAAAGATGAAGTTTAGTTTAATTAATTATCCAATAAGTTGTGGTTGAAGATAATGAAAAATCTCAATCTATTTATATACATATATTTTCTTTCATACATGAAGTTACAGAGTAACCTCTAATTACATGAAATAACCAATTTACACTCATAGTTATAAATGATGTACTCAACACATGTCACAATTACCAGGCCTTACAAAGTTTTTTTCTTAAAGAATGCATTACATAATCCAAACCAAAATAGAATCTGCCAGCACTGTTTTGCCATTACAAAGTCCAAATAAAGTAATGAAATAAGTTGAAGTTAGATGAACCAACAACAATTATGAAATACAGAATTTAAAGACATGCTCTTTATGCAAAAAAGCATCTATTTTCATAGCATGTTCATATTTGATTACTGAATTACTAACCACGCTAGAAATACAAAACATCCTATAATTTGAGTGGGTGACATGTAACAGTTTATCAGTTATATAACATTCTGTATGAAGTTCCTTTCAGACAAAGAGCAACACTGACTAATGTTTTCATATTTATTTCTACTTTGTAGCTTTTATCTCATTTTTATGTGTAATTAATTTCTGCAATGTAGCAACACAGTCCCATATAAAATGAATAGGATTTTGCAGTAAGAGAAAACTGTTAAGAAGTTATTGAAAAGGAAACAAGCTCATGTAAGTGTATGCTTTGTACTTGTAGATCTTGGTATATGGTATAATAGGAATTTAGAAGTTATAAGAAAAAAAGAACCACACAAAGGCCACACTAAAACCCCCCTGCAAGGACAGGAGCTCTATATGCAGCAAGGGTGGCTGCTAGATACCAACTTTTAACATAGTTACCAAACAAACTCCTACTTTCCATGATTAATTCCTCCTTCAAATGTCACTGCCTTGAATTTGAATTGGGGTAAGTGAATGCCAAAAATTAATAATTTACTTCCATCCATTTCTGCAGAGATCTAATCAAACAAGCTTTATTGTTTATAATAGCACCTTTTACTGTAGTTACTTTCCTGGATTTTACTTTCCTCTTTGCATTGTCTCTTTGAAATACCACTGATAGCCTTGATACCATACAAAAACAAAAATCTCATGTAAATAGTCTAAGGCATCCATAGATATCAACAGTGTTTGTGTCTTATTGTATTGACAAACTATATCTGAATGTACAGCCTAACCAGGAATGCCTAAATATCTACTTACACCGATATACAAGACCATAAAACCTGTAGCAACTTGACCAGGTCTCTACATCTTTCAACAATAACAAAGAGCTTATCAGAAATCTACCAAATTTATTTATTATTTTACACCAAAAATGCCTTCACATGAGCAAAACCCATGAGAAACATGAAGGAACATTTTCCATTTAAGAAGCACAATAATCTTGACACATTTTCTCAATATGTTCATATTTTCATTTTATTGCAGGTCCTATTTTTAAAATGTATTTACACTTTCTGATCCATTTTGCTTTCCCTGAGACATGTATGATTTAGACACTAGTAATTGTAACACAAGGGTGGTGTTCACTGCCTTTGCTCAGACTGTGGTTGCAAAGTATTTGTATGAAACTGTTAGATGTTAGTACAGACTCCATAAAGGAAAAGCAATAAACACAAGGTTAAACTGAAGGTTAACCTTTGTACCTTATTTTTACTATTCTAGATTCTGTTTTTAGATACTGTGAATCTGGTAGATTTT